AATAATAACACATTTGGATGCGAAAACACGATGTGTTAATTTATCGATATCGCGAAAAATATCCGCGTTGTGTTCCCGAGAAAAAAAAAAATAATCTTTCGCGTTTCATTCGTTTCAAACAAGTTTCGCAACAGATCAACCGTTCAATCAGTTTTAATAACAAGGGGTCACCGTATACGAATTACCGTTCGTTCAACGATCAACGAATCGACCGGTGGAATCGATCGTAAACGCGCCAACTTTAAATAAACGTTCCACGATTCTCCTCATTGAACGCGCGTTAACAAATATATATGTATATATATTCGCCTACGCGTGATAATCCTCGTTGCACGCGTATCTAGACGCGAGTTTGCAGAGAGAAAGAGAGAGAGAGAGAGGAGGGGAGGGGGGCGCAAAATAAATCTGCAACGGCTCGTTTGTCTTTGCCAAACAATCCCAAAGGTCCGAGGAAACGGGGTCAACGAATACCCGTGTTCTCTCGCGCCTCGGATCGGTTGATACCGTCGGCCGAGAATCGAAACTCGATTGCCGATGATAAATCGGCAATAAGGCGAGATATCGATTATCGATAATTCATCGAATCGGTTATTACGCCGGTTATTTTCGATGGAAGCGGAGAGAAGAGTCGTCTTTGTCGCGACGGTGGAAAAACTGACGTCAGCCACCGTAATTGATATTTTTCGAATACGTTTCCAAGCTGAACGAGGTTAAAGAAGAAGAAGAAGTCTCGCCAAGAAGCGATTCGCGCGAGTGAATGACCATAATCACGACGATGCCTATTAGAAAGCAATCTCGCGTTCGACATCGTTGCAGTCGTTAATAACGCTTCTCCTTTTCTTCTTCTTTTCCTTTCTTTTCCCTTTCTTTTCTTTTCTTCTTCTTCTTCTTCTCCAACCTGAATGATTTTCGAAGGATTATCCGCTCGTGAAGCGTGGGAGAGGCTCTCGACCGTGTTCGAACGTGTTGCCGCCGATTGTTTTTGTGCCAGCGCGAATCGACGTCGAGGGATATATATATATATATACACGCACCTGTATGCAAGCAGGAGTTGCAAAATCACGAATGCGCCAGGAGTGCAGAACGCGGTACAGTGAATAGTTTTCTCGAAGATAAAGAACCTTTGGAACAAGGTTGAGAGGAGAGGGGAGTTTTCGAAAAGAGGCAAGAGAGGCTGTTTGTTTGGATATATACGAGAGATTTAAACTTCGTTTTGAGGGAAGGATTTTAAGTATACGTATGCCGGCATTGCGACATCGCTAATGCATCGCGAGTACGGGGAATGCGCAGCCGTGGATGCACTGCAAAATTACGAGAGTACGAGAGAACAACGGGTGGAATTCCCTGCTTCCCCTGCTTATGGAAGTGTTCGAAACAGAGAGGAGAGGAGAGGGGAGAACAGAGGATAAGAAGAAACCGTAGGAAAAATAGATATCTGAAACGATTCACGCAGGTACGTTGAACCGAATCGAACGTGAGACAAATAAATGAACGGCGACGGTGTGGTCGATCCACGTCTAATTGGCGTAGACAACAATCGCGGAGTCTTAATGAACGCAACCTTTCAGGGGGAGGGGGGAAGGGGCAAAGGGGAAAAGAATCGACGATGAGAGAATAATCTTCTACTACTTTCTAACAACGCGTTCTCCTTTTAGCAAGTTTACGAGAATGGAACGTGGATGTTAAAGATGTACAAGTGAGGTCCCTTTTTTCGAGATTATGATGTCGTTACAAAAAGAAAAAAAAGTCCCGCGAATTCAAGGAACAGGAAAGATTTTTCTCCAATCTTTCTTCCATAAAATAAGATTATCCTTTTTAGAAAAAGATCAACGTACTCTTGACTATTCCTCGATATATATAATACATTGTACAAAAGCTTATTATATCTTGATTTTTCGAGACACGATCAAAATCGTTTCAACATTTAAAATTTGATTCAATTAAATACCTTCGTTCGTCCTTAAATACTTGTTGAAGAGAAGAGGCAGAATCTAAGATTCCCAAGCAACCGGTTGGAATCGCTTTTTATAATTATGAATCGAAGATTAGATCTAAGATTAGATCCACCTAATCTCGGCACGATCCAGCTGAGAGGACCACGATACACACCTGACGTGGTAAAGCAAGGCAGGCACGTACACCGATCGTCGGCTGTTTGCGAAATCTGCGATGCACCATGAGCGTGTTACAAACACGCGTACGTACACGCGGGCAGAATCTCAGTCGCGTGCATTCACGAAGCGAAGGACGTCGTCCGGGGACAATGTGTGCATGGAGGAGTTGAGTTGCCGCGTGCCTTCGATCCCGCCTCGGATCGCCGCGTTTACCCGCGCGATGAAGCTCGAGAATGGCGACCACGATCTCGACGACACCTTCAAGGCTTCCACCACCGTCCTCTGTCTCTCCTCCTACCACCTCCTCTATTCTTATCTGTCGCGTTTATTCTCTTCCCATCTTTATACCCGTACTCGAGTTTCGCAACACGGCCTCTTCATTAACCGGGCTTCGAGCTCGCTTACCTTTAGAAAACCGCGACGCGACCTTCCTTTCCGCCATTTTTCCAACCACTCTGTCTCTGACGAGAGTTTGTAAAGAATTTTCGCGATTTTTATCTTTCGAGAAAAGTTATGGTGAATTCTAATTTTTTGGTAGTTTCGCAAAAAAAAAAATAAGAACGAACAATTCTTAAGAATCGCATTGATATTTGCAGATGAATAAATATCCTGAGAAGAATTATCAAATTATCCAAACTATCCATTCAGAAGTCAACTGTCAACTGTTCAAAGCCTTTTGAAAAAATTCTTAATCTTAAGCATTAAAATATATCGATCGAGCGCATTCTACATTTAGAAGTAAAATGATTTATCTGGACAGGTTGTTTGACTCGTTCATTATTAATAACGATTATAAATAACAGGAGAGATTTCCGTTTGAAAAGTGGCAGGATAGAATTCGTCTCGCATTATGCCTGCCACGTGAACCGTGTATCGGTGCCGCGATATATTTCGTATTATCAGCATTGGGCGTATGTCTGGCGTAAAACTGCCAGAACCGATAATATACCGATATAATGCTCGAACAAAACCGAGGCAAAATAGGAAGCAAAAAAGAGCAAGCAAGAAGAAGAACAATGAAGACACCTCGTATATACCGTTTCCGAATTCGCCTTGGTTGATAAAAAAAAAAACGTATCGCGAGTCGCGTGATTTACGGTGGATCTGATTCACTGGTAACGGTACGAGACTCCGAAGAATCGTTTCGAAAGGAACGAATGGTAAACCCTTTTACTTTGCGCTCCATTTCGGAATCGAAACGAAAACGAGTGTACAAGTATCGTGGAAACCGTTAATAAAAATCTAACGTTCTTCTCAAACGGTTTTCTCACCGAGTTTTATGTACATATATAAAAATTCTTCTAAAAAAAAAAGAGAGTATTTACACAGTAATACACAGATAATCGGAATACTATCAATAGGCATCAAGCACGTTTGCAAATTCCACACCTCTTCGGATTGAGCAAACATTCCCACGATACGATACGATCCTCGTCTAAAAATAATCTCTTTTTTTCCACATTCCAATCTCACAACACGTAACGATCCTTGCTACAATCCCCTCCTTTCAATGAACCATCTCCCCCAAATTACCATTCTCGAGAACCCAAAAAAAGACCAGGTTCCCAGCTACCGTGCGTAGAAACGAGCCTAGCCTTTCCAGCCCCGGCTTCTCCTCTTCTAAAAGGAGAATGGAAAAAGGAGCGCGATGCCGGAAGAAGGAACGCAAGATCGTTCATCCCGGCATGTAAATTCGCGCGGTATCTAATATCGCGCGCATTGTACGGAGCTCGGCGAGCTCGGTCAGATTGGAAACGTAGAAGGAGGATGGATCTCCTTAAATCAACCGTTTTCTGATATCTCTGTTCGAAAGCGAACGAGGAGAGGAAAGTGAACGCTACCGGAACACCTGGAAACGATTCTTCCTCCTCTCCACCTCGACGTACGTATGTATGTAAATGGGCGTCTCATATCGAGGGGGATCAAGCGGGTGTATTACGTTCCGCGTGCATTGTGTAGACGGAGCGGGAGATCAGAGACGCAACAGAGCATTCCTCCTAGGCAAACACGGTTAGAGAAGGGGGGGCTGCGTACGGGGACGGACGGGCGCACGGGGAACAATTAATCGTGCAAGATGGAAAACGCGCGCACGAAGGAATGCGCGTGATGCGCTCGACATGGACAATCAGGGCCGTGATTGCGCTACACGGGAATCAAATTAGCATCGCCATTAGAAGAACCCGGACGGGAGAGTTGCGGGGGATTCGATAGGCGTATTTGCACCCATCTATCGATGGATCCTTTTTCAACCAGCTTTTTTATTACTTTCCAGGGATTAGCTTTAACTCCCCCAGTGTTTTTCCAGGGATTGGCCGCTCGCCTACTTGCCGTTCCATACACACGGGCTGTTAATATATATATGTACGTATTTACGCACGAGGTGAAAAGTAAACGTGAAATTGGATTTCGAGAAAATTGTGGATAATTTATCAAATGTTGGATATCGTGAGAAATATTGGATTCTATAAATAATAGAAGGGAATAGGATAAATTGAATTAATCGATTTGAGTCGAATCCTGGTTAAACCTGGTCGATGATTATTGAAACGTGCTGTATCGAGTCTTGTGCGCGCGTCCAAACCACGTGCGTTGCGTGGCACACGCATAAACCAACCCCCGCGTGTCCGTTCGACCGCTCTTCTTCACAGCGAGATAAAGCGAGCTCGGCTGGCACGCAAACGCGGAAACCCGTCGAATCAATCGTTGCATTGTTCCTTCCTTAGATAGGAAATAGGTGAACGGAAACTGATTTAACGAACGCCATTACGCTCTCTACTCTCCTTTAAAAAAAGGAAAAAGGAGGGAGAGGAAGAAGCAAGTAACGCTCGAATTTTTTCGACGATGCCCAACGCGCGTCTACGACCCTGCAACACGGGTCTGCAACACGATTCGTCGTCGAGTCGTTTTAATAAATTGGATCGACTATCGAGCAGCGTGCGAACCGGGACGATAGTCGATATTTCGCGTACAACTTCAACTCGCAAAGTTTGATAATGGAGTTCTATTAAAATTCCCAGTGTATCTAAAACACTGTACGATAATGAACGGAAAATTTACGAGTATCCCAATATCACGATGCATGGTGACCTCGGCCATCCTAACGCGGAGAATCTCGAAAACACGTCGAATCGATGCGCGACAACCAGCACTTCCAACGGAATGATTAACCTCAATTTCGACGAGGAATGGCTGACTTACGAAAAACTCACGGAAATCTTTTTGTTTCAATCGATCTCCAAGACGAAATTGACCGATTCTCCACCCGTCAGATTTTGCAAAACGATACAGCAACAAGCGAAATCCGTGGACGTGTTGAGACGTGTTCGTCAGTCTTCGAAATTAGCGAAGAACAAAGTGGTAGCACTGAAAAATGCGAACCAACCGGTTATTTTCGATAAAAGAGCGGACGGGGATAAGGCTAGGGACATCGCGCCAATACCAATGAGAAAAAGCCTCTTCCCATACGTGTCCCCTTACGTTCTCTTCCAAAGCCACGATCACGTACCGACCAAAAAATTGCCCAGGGATTTCGTTCAACTTTTCAAATGGAAGTTCACTAGCTCCATGCCCAGGATATTGATCAGGATCCTGGTCAATTCCGGATACGAAGTGGTGAACAAAGGATCGGATTGGTCCGCCGTTTGGAATATGTCTAGCAAAGACGTGATGAGGTTTCGACGTATGAAACCGTTTCAAAAGGTAACAAAATTTCTTCTCGAGAAATTCTGTGGTTGGTTCAAAGAAATCTTCTCCTCTATCGAACGACAATTTCACCATCGCAATCGTCGGAATCGCGATATCTCTTATTTATTCTTTTCCCATCAGGCAAACAACATGCCTGGTTCGCATAATATAGGGGACAAGGATTTATTGTGGACTCACTTGAACAAAATGTCGAAGAAATTCGGATCCGATTACAACTTCATGCCTCGTACGTACATCCTGCCCAAGGAGATACAAAAATTCGAGAGCATGTGGAGCAGACACGGTATAGGGACCACGTGGATAATCAAACCGCCGTGCGCTGGTCGTGGCCAGGGTATCAAGATTGTTAATCAATGGTGGGAAATACCAAAGTGGCATTCGGTAATCATTCAACGATACATCACCAAGCCGAAACTAATCAACGGATTGAAATTCGATCTGCGAATATACGTTCTTCTAACGAGCATCAATCCCCTCAGAATTTATATCTATCAAGAGGGCTTGGTTCGTTTCGCTTCGGTTAGGTAATTCGAAGAAACATATACACAATCTTCTTCCGTATTTTATCGATTTTCGCGTAATAAGAATTGCGAACAATTAATTCTATCTCCGCGCTACGATGAATATATTTTGCGACCGATCCGATAGAAATTAGATATTTAAATTTTTGAGACACCGTGAAATCATGGAAAATTTTCTTACCGTTTGAATATATATATATATATATATATAGTTGCACAATTTCGTGAGTTTCGTTTCGTTCTAATGATAAAAAATAATATCGATTTATCTAGATATATTCGTGGAACCAATTTAAACGACAAATACATGCACCTGACAAACAGTAGCGTGAACAAACAGAATCCCGCATACGTGATGAACGATGGAGTGAATTCGTTCAAGGGGCATAAATGGTCGTTCTCGAGTTTATGGTCCTATCTGAAGCAGGAAGACGTGAACGTTAGCGAATTGTGGTCCCTGATCAAGAATATCATTATCAAGACATTCGTAGCCGTGGAATCCAGCATGAACACCGCCATTTCGGAAAATCTTGTTTCGAGTTACAGCTGTTACGAATTGTACGGGTTCGACGTACTCCTCGACGAAAGTTTGAGGCCCTGGTTGCTCGAAGTTAACATTCTACCTTCGTTGCAAACCGATTCGCCACTCGACACTTCCATCAAGGTATTGAGATTCAAAAGAACGCGACGCTGGCGTTTATATCTTTATTTTAAAATAATAAGTTTATAGCAGAAACAAAATTCTCGAGAGAAAAGAAAATCTGAATCTAACGAGAATCGATTCTGTCCAAAGATCGTTATATAACATATTTCGCGAAGGATAAAACGAACGCTCTATTCAAAACTTTTCGACGATGATAATAATAAGCTAACTAATTGGAAATAATAATTTTCTCCATCGCGGTACAAACTTTCTCGAATTCGCAACACGTTAGACTCGCGGATAATTGTGCCCATTCGCGATCTCGTACGTATGTAATTCGTTCGAGCGCTTACCACCGTTCAATTTCCAACTTTCGAATTCCTTCGCAATGATACACGGAAATCATGCGCACGTTCGATGATAAATTATTTATGGTCACGATCGATTGAGTCACAGTTGTATCGTGTACGATGATGCCTTCGTCTGAGCGCGACTTCCATTTGTTTTTCAGGGTACTTTGGTCAAAAACGTGTTGAACATGGTCGGATACCAGATACCGAAAAACGAGCAAGTTTCGAGTAACGGTACAACCAACAAGAAGTACGACTCGATCGCGCACAATTACAAATTGTACAGCACGGCCTTGAATCTTCAAGAAAAGACGAAACAGAACGAGATCAACGCGATGGAAACGCGCGACGAATATTTGACCATTATACTCGAGAATTTGACCAGGGACGATATCAGGCAGTTGATACGTTACGAGGATGAGCTGAGTCAGGTTGAAAACTTTGAGAAAATCTTCCCTACCAAAAATTCTTATTGTTACTTCAAATTCTTCGAAGTGAAGAGATACTACGACCGGTTACTGGACGCTTGGGAAAATCGTTATTCGGATAACAGAATGGAGGGGATTCGTAGGCTGCAACGATGCTGCGAGAACATGCAACATCTCGATCAAAACGAGTAGACTGATATCTTTGATCTTTTCTTTTCTTTTCTTTTTTTTTTTTTTTGCCCCACGCTTATACCCGTGATATCATTCGAGATCCAATTAAAGCGGTTCGCACGGAGCAAGGCCAATAGCGTGGAGCGAGAATTTTTTTACGTAATAATATTCTCGAAGTACGTAATATATGCACGAAGGAAAAAAAGGAGGAAAATACTTATGACAGGTATGGAAGAAGAGGATAGCCCGTATCCTCGATCGCGTAATTTTATTCCGAAATATCCTCGTGCGTCGAGTTTATATTGTATTTGCTATCAAATTCTTAATATTAATTAATCTCATTGTAACATCTGAGCAAGGAGAAAAAGACAAGCGTTAGATTGTCCCAAATGTTCTTCTCGTTATTTTTAAATTCGCGCGGTTTTGCCATGATTATGAGTCGAGAAATATTCATCGTTCTCTTCGAATTACGCGTCACGAGCGAAACGATCGGATTACTTTCCATAAAGAAAAAAATGTATGCCGAGTCGAAGTCCAGTTTTGGAAAAACTGGAGATTTTGAAGACATTGGCGATTGATCGGAAAAATGAGAGATTTTGGGATAAAGAACTTTTGGGATAACCTAATATACAAAGGTATAATCGAATTTACCTGATTACGTAAAATTTCGTTTTTGAAATTTTTTCATACACGTAACATCTTTCTCATATATTTTCCTAGAAATTACTTCAAGTTTACATTTTTTCAAGTTTATCAAGTTTAATGCTTTTCATATACTTATATGTATATAATTATTTTCACGACGAGATATATATATATATATACGAAACTGTAGGTACGATTACAGTTTCTCAATAAGCGATTAAGACACTAAATCGCGAGTACGAGGAGTTTAAACTATTTCGTCTCTGGAGACATCCGATGTCAGAGGAATTCGAGAAATCCGACGAAACCTTACGCCTGTTAATCCACCTTAGCCGGGAGGTTGCGCAACAACCATAACCGCAAGGTACTGTAAGTCGTTTTAACTATATCGGTCACATTGACGTCATTCATTTGCCGTTTACAAGTTCCACACTTCTTAATAGGAGTATCCGTTTCCACGACAGAATCCTTTTATCGAATTACGCGTAACTCAATTTCCCTTTTGAAATCGTGGCGTGGATTGAGCTTCGAGAGCTTTAGTCTTTAATCATCTTTAGGGATCATCTTTATACCTTTCGCGGTATGATAATAATAATTTTGTAATAAAATTACAAAAAATCGAGAACAGAATATGTAAAAAGAAAAAAAAAAATAATTATTCTCTTATTGTTAAGTTTTATAGAATTTTTCATGTCGATTATTCGTAAAAGGTTTATATAGATCTCTAATAAATCATAAAAACAGAGACGTTATCGATAAGATCATCTTATTTAATATTGAATAGTTTTCGAACGTTAAGCGATCGAGGAAAGAACAAGAGATTGAAAATGATGAAGCGAGGAAAAGTAGAAGAAAGATCCAGAAGATCCAGAGATTTCTTTTAAGCCTCGTGTATTTCTGCGTACGAATCGATATGTCTCGTTTCTTTGCGTTCTTTAATCTTTAAATTCACGCGTGTCACAAGCGAAAGAACATAATACAATAATTTCTCTTGAGAAAGTATACTCTCCGAAATTGTAAAAAAATTCATCTCGAGGAAAATAAAGAAACGATAAAATGGTTTCGATCGAGTCTGGGAAAATGTTTAAAAGTAAAATAATATTCACGAGCATCACCTGTATCGAAAACTGGCACGCGAGAATGCTAACATTTATAGGCAAGGATTATTTATACACGATAAAAGCAAAACGCGAGAGCATTCTATAGATCCAGTCCAAAGGCTTTGAATTTCCCCACGGTGCGAGCCGATGGACAGTTTCACAATAATTCTCGAATGCATGCTTCGCCAAAGCGTGAATGGCAAAAGCAAACAATTCTCGTTACACGCTGAGAAACGTACAAAGAATTTTCCATCGGTTATTGAAAACATTTCGGAACCGATATCTCTCCGAAAAAAACAAAATTTCACCATTTCGATCGGCTTGATCGGCTGATAATCGTTTCGAACCTCGTTCAACGTTACATTTAAAGGATATCGATACGATATCGAAAGTGAAACTCTCGAGAGTCGCTTTCGAAAATTCTACGATTCGATCGACCCTCTTCTCGTTATCTTAATTGTAATTATTCCGACTTAATATCTATCTCGGAAAAATCGAATAGAAAATTACATTTAAAGGTAATATCGATACGATTTCTCGAATTCGTAATGCAAAAACGCATTGGTAATAATTTCGATCGGTCACGGCTCGTCACCTCGTTCGAACGTCTGACGTAAGCGGCCGGTGAAAGCTCTGGGACGGGCTTCATAAACATGAATCACTTCCTGAAAATTCCGTAGACCCCCGACTTTCAGCGGTTTTCAGCTCGTTCAGACTGTCTCCTCCGCGAATCTCGTCCCCTCCCCCGCTCTCCTCGTCACATGCACAACCTACTTTTCTTCTCGACGACCGCACGTGAGCATCGCGCGCTTTAACGCGTTCTATCTCTTGATGCGCATACCACGCGAGCACAAACGATTTATCAGAGCCACTGGCTCGAGCGACTTTTTTGCTCGAACAGGACGGAAAGCTGCTGCGCTCGAACTTTCCTTCGTTAATCCGCAATTATTATTCGAGCACGGTCACGGTAGAGTTAGTTGGAAGTGCTAAAGAATGGACATCGATCGTTATCGTATCGGAAGCGAGAGAAATTCCGGAAAAACATCTTGCTATTTATGGATTTATTTTACCAAGAACGAGAATAGGGGATGGATAGATGGCTAAAAACGAATGTGTTAAATGAGGAAAGATACGGTTTTATATGTGTATATATATATTTATATTGGTTCTCGTAAATGGTTACTAATGAAAACGAGGAAATTTTAAATGGAAGCTTTTTCTCCCAATGATTCAACCCATCTGGAAGAATTTTTAGAAATTACGCCAATTCCCGTGAACGTCGAGTGTTTCGAATCAAATACCCGCCTACCTTTCCCAGAATTATGATACCTGTTTCGGTGCAGAGAATACAGGTAGAAAGTCTCAAGTTTCAAGACAGTTGCAGCTATTTTTAAAAAGCTTAAGCTACGTGTTTACCGAGGAGAACGATCAATAACTCTTTCAAGAGATGATGAATCGTTGAAAACATCACGGAACATTGACAAAAGGTACGTCGTTGCTGTTTCATAACAGGAAACAAGAATAATCGAGCCGAATGTATAAACTTTATGACGATATATATATATATATATTGAGAGATATCATTCGCTTTATGATTTCAAGCGACAGATTGTCAATCTTAAGTTATTACATGTATATTCTCTTTCTCGGTCGCGGTCAAGCGTGATAAAATACCGGACTGTTTTACCCTGGTTGCGTTCCGACTGTCACATTATTACCGGGTGTACGGCTGCGTGACTCTGACAATCAGAGCAGAATGAGATCTAAAAATTCGCAATCTCACGAATGAATCCACTCTAGTCCACTCTTAATTACGACACAATTATCGTTAATGGTAGAAACAATTCAGCTCTTCTACAACAACTTTCGGAATTCTCCGTTATCAAACCGAACGGTAAATAATAAACGAGAAAGTAAAAGGGAAAATAGCGACACGATTCCTAAAAAAAAAAAAAAAGAAAAAAGAAACGTGAATCTAAATAAATCCTGGCACGAGTTTCCGAGTTTTCGTCACCTACTTACTTATTTATCGCACCTCGGATATATTTTCCACCAATAAATCCACGCTTTGATATCTCTCTGTCCTCTTCAGAGAAGAGAGCCGTCTCCGTGAAAATAGGTCGACGCAATAGGCATGGCGGAAATCGCATTGAACACGGTAGAAGCAACAGTTTCTGCCATCGCGAAACGACTCTAACGCGTGTGTTCTTTGTCTCTGGATCAAGTTAACGCAAACGAGAAATCGCGGAAATCTCTTCTATGATATCTCTTCTATGATAGATGATAATTGATAGGTGCGGGACGGCCGAGAATGAAATCGAGCGGAGGCTAAACGGAATCGATCCATCCACGGGATAAATGGTTAATCGAACGTGATAAATAACGATCAGCATATAATTTTAAGTCCTTCGTTCATTCGCGGACGATTCATCTTTCACGCGATAACGAAACGTGTCGGCCGCGATGGAAATACTAATTGCTCGTAATTTCGAGTTATCGGGTGATTAAATTATCATCTCGTTCGGGAAAAGCTTGTGTCAGCGGAAGCACAGTGTAACGGATTTCGTTTCTTCGACTTTTACTTTACACGTAAAGTGTTACGCGGAAGTTACTCAAGCTCCAAAGTCTTTCGCCCGAACCGAATTTCCTAACTTCGCTTCGCTTGCAGAAAAAAAAAAAAAAATTGGAACGAGATACGCGAGAAGAAATTAACATTTTTGTTTAGGGGGAAAGAACGGTGTAATTAACCAAATGAGCTATTAAATCGTTTTCTAGACGGCACTTAAAATACGATTTGTTTCTGTATTAAAAATAACTCGATAAATAACCTCTTCGGGCATAATATTACTTCTACTTATTTATTAAATATTCGAGAATTGATAGAATTTCGAACGATTAAGTAGAAAAAAATGAAGAGATATAAAATATTGTGCAAGTTATAAATTCTTTCTCCAAATTTCTGTAATTTTTCAAAATTTTATTCTCCCTAATCTATCGCAAAAATGAAACAAAGAGAAACGAACAAAGCGATAGATCGAAGAGATAAAGAGTAAAAGTACAGTTTCGTTTGCGGCTTATACAGTTGCCATTATGCGGAATTCTACATGCTGGTTCGCGTATAATAAACCGAAATCGACCACGAATAACTCGTGATATTCCACGAGTTCTATGCTAAACACGGAGATACCTGGCCAACTCGATCGTCACTTTCTCCGCTTCATTAGACGAGCGGTGTAGGTTTCGTCAGCACGGATCGATCGATGCCACGATTCCCCCGATCTTCGAAGTTGAAAGTGAATTTCGCGCTTCACGATCGGCGTGTCAGTGACTCCTTTAAGAGAAGTGCTCACGTGTCGATCGAATTGAACAAGAACGATGGTTATCGGTGGCAACCATGACCGATATATATCGATTATAAATTCGGATTCATTTTATAGCGTTATAATTAATAAAATGATCAAAGAAAGTGATTCGTGCAATGTTGGATACGTTATAGGTTTATGTTATAAAGAATGGTAATTGGAGCA